GTTTCGATATTTGATTGCAGCAGAGAAACAAATAAAAAAGAGCTCAATAAGAAAACTTTATCTTCGATAACAATGTATCAAAACATGCTGATATGCGTGCAAGAGTATCGCAGCATTCGGGATACTCATGCTCTTCTTATGTGTCAAAATACAGACTCACCATCGGGCAAGTTGGAATTTGCCAGAAGCGGAAAGCGCTGTTCCGACATCTTTTTCACCCACGACCACTTCGTTCGCTGTTAGCCGTGTGACAACAAAGAGGTTGTTCTAACAAAAAGTTGTTCCCATTGAATGTGAAGACTGGTGATCAAATGTCATATAAGCACATTCTTCTTTTATGTTTGAAAGAATTTTTTCCCTAAACTCAACAACGAACAGTGACAAAAGAAAAATAGATCTCTAATCTGACAGAACATTTTTAATAATCATCAGTAATTGTTATTGCGTTCTTGAATCTTTGTCTTATAGGTAAAAACTTTTCTATGTAAAATGCTTGAAATAGTGCATCATCATTCTCTGTCATAGGATAGATGGCTTCACCTAATTCGTAGATTTGTGTTTCCGTCACGTGAATATAAACACAGAAGCGAATGGAATAGTTGAGTAAATCTTTTTGTGTAATATTTTTTAGAATAGTAAAACTTTCACCGAATCGTACAAATTCTTTTACTTTTTGCAATGATGTTTCATATGGTTCTAATCCACGTTGTAACGGTAAAATTGTAAAACGAATGGATACATGAGCACTATTGATAATATGTTTCATATTGCGGATATTTTGAATATTTAAACGAATCGTAGCCGATGTAGGATAATATTCACAGCTGAAATGTAGTATAGGTGTATTGACATCTGTGACTATTTCATCGTTAATGGATGAATCGATTACATCGGAACCAAAATTTGTATATCCTTGTTGGTTATTAACAGAATTGAAGGATGAATAGGACCGTCGGCCTCCAGATGTATCAAGGGGTAAAGTTGCTTCGTTTTGATCATCAAACGATTTATATCCGTTATTTGTCAGCAGTTTGTCTCTGGCATAGTCTATAGTAGATTTCATGCCGTCAAATACAGTAGTGGTTGGCGAGTCGAGTCGTCCTACTGATGAAATATTATGATGACGAGACCACTCTAATGCACCTGATTGTTGACTGTCTGCCGGAAGACTTTGTGTAACTGTGACGAGATTTTTTTTTAGTTGTGGCGGTTCACTTGTTCGAATACATGTTATCGATGTTGATTTGGACATAATACCTGATGATGATGCTTCGGTTGGGGGATTTCGAACGAATGTTGTGGACAATTTTCTAACTGAAGCATAAAGAACTGGTCGAATAACCTGAAACTTTTTGGCTAAAATTGGATCCCAGATAAATTGTTTAACTAGGCATATTGTTATAACAATAACAAATGCGATTAAGCATGACAATGCCACGTAGGCGGACATTAGTCGATACGTGGATTTGATTGTTGTAATCATTCAAATGCCTGTCAACAAGTCAAATGCTATAAAAAAAAGAGAAATTCATGTGCAAATTAACATACATGCTTTGTTTCACGAATTTGCTTGAGAAAGAGTGAGAATCACTTTTAAAGGCATAGTCTAATTGTGATCCATTATCATTTCCTGTTTTCAACGAATTAGCATATTAGCATTACACAACAAATGGAAACAACTAATTCAGATTTGAAATGGCCTGTGTATCAATATTGACTTTGAACATAAATTTATAATATTCGTCTCCGTGCTGTGAGTAAAAGGAGGAACGTCCGTAGCTATTTCATGAGTAAGTTTTGATAGAAAGAAAATAGAGGCAAAATCTCTCTAAGTTTCATTATTCTAAAGCTCTATTTGATCTGTTTAACATACACACACACATTGACAAAGGTAGAAATAAGGTAATTCAAAGGAAACGTTTTGGCGCTTACAGGTTTTCGTGAAAAACTCTGACAGTTCAAACAGGTTCTTTTTGCACCACAGGATCGTGTATCAACTAGAATAGTGTATATTTGGAAGTTTTTAACTGATTTTGAGTGAATTACGATCTTTTTATGTTGCATGATAATAACTTAGCATAAGTCATTTCATCTTAAGCAGGTATTTACGAGGCTTTCAAATTATTAATGAAAATCACCATTGAAACAATACCCGTCATAGCCGAAAAAAACCTGTCTTTCTTTATGTTTTTGTCCTCAAAAGTCCTTGAAAACTCATTGATATCCGCTGATACTTATACGTTATAAAAGATGAATGTCTTTTTGAGCTCCCATTTTGAAGTATATACTTGGGGCTATTTATCCGTGGAAAAAAATTAAAAAAGTTTTATCATCAGTTTTCCAGTGAAACTTTATTCTGAAAAAAGTTTGTTTAAACGTATTTTACAAACTAAACGTTCTTTATACTCTAGATTTCTAAAGTGTACTGCTGTCTTGACTTTCAAATGCCGAAAACCGCTGATCTCTCCCTTGTTACTGTTAATGGTTAAGAACATTTTTTTCTCTATTAACAATTCAATACAACGTACCTATATTTATTTGTTGGCGTACTAGATTAATCTCTTGGCAATATGATGAAGTGTTTTGTAAGCGGCATATCGTGAAGAGTGAGTGTCACCATTTGATGATGATGATGTGTTTTCATTTCTTTGTTTTTCTAACATTGTTAGATGATATTATTTCTCCATTTCTTCTTCCTCTTTGTTTTTTCACGATTTTTCTCACATCCGTATTAGAATTAGTTAGTGTTTTCTTCTCCTTTTTTTATACTTCTTTTGGTAGTGGTACTACTAAAAACATAGAGTGATACAAAAAAATGTTCCGGAATTTGATAAAACTAAAAATCTGAAAAGAGATATCTACGATGATAGATAGACAGAAAATTTTCTCTTGGGTATATATTTATTCCACTCTATACATTTTTATAACTTTAGCTCGTTTTTTCTTCTTTTAGTAGAGATAATCATCATTAATGTGCATTTAATTCTAAACAATAGAATTACAATATTTCTCATATGAGGCATATTTTCTATGGATATATGGAATGAAAAATAGAAAGACATTTTTTTTTTTTTGTAGAAATAAGTTTTGTTTTATACAAGAATGCATTGAATACGATACGGCATTAAAATTTTTTTACTCCTTAACTGTGTTCGTACTTATGGACATATATTATTTAACACTCCATTGTGCATCTAAACTAAAATATTTAACAACGCTTAATGAAATTTACAAAGCTGAACATTTTCTATCCACTTAATATAGTCGTAATTATTTCACCTGTAAAAGATAAGTAAAATAATACTTTAAGGACGAATCTAGTCTTTGACAAACATTTTACCTATTATTCTGAAAAGAAGAGAAAGAAGTGAACATTTATACTTCAAAACGGTGGGTAATAGTCAGATTTTAACTCTACCCACTCTTATTTTCAAGCAATTTCCTAAAGATATTACGTGCAAAGCTGTCCAAAAATTATTCAATCATAGTGTTTATGAGAAATTCTACATTTGTGATTTCATCCGTTATTGATCTTGTACTATTTTTATTATAAGAAAACCTGATGTAAAAGAGTCAGGTTTTATTACCCACTGAAGACAAACATATACGTACTCTTTCAGTTTCTAGATCATTCTTATTCTATAATTTCTAAATATAGAGGGCATAAAAAAAACAAAAATATAAATAATTATCATCAAGGTTGTGAAAAACACAATTTACATTTAAAAACAATAAGAAAAATACGCTTTGGTAATTCTCATTAAAAACCTAATGATATTCACGTGTGTATAGAGAATAATAATTGAATCTAAAAGTACTTTAAAAACGTATAGAACAAGTTCAATTTTTTGTACACAGATTTTTACAAGATATCCCTTGGGTTGTTGATTTTGTTGAAAATATACATTTATTTTATCTTTTTTTTATTTGATGATGGTATATTTATAGATCAGCAAATGTATCATTCCATTGATAATGACAGTTTGTGAAAAATAGATTTTACTTTAAATCTAAAATATCCTTGATCAAGTACCTTACTCTACAAAACAAGTAATTAATTCTCTTATAACCAAGTGAATGATTCAGTTAGAGAACGAATAAAGTCAAATCCTATTCAAGATTTACTAAGAGATTTATATAAAAGTGTTGAAACTTAGTAACTAGGGATCACACAAAGTTTAGTAGAGGGTTGATTGAACTAGATTCGGTATGAATGAAAAAAATTCTAAAACTAGAAATATGAGCTCTCTATAATTCATATATTTTCTTGTTTTCTTTCTTAGCTTATTTTTTTGCTCATCTAAAAAGATGTTTCTCAAATTTTTTTCGATTTTCATACTAATCAAGTTATATCGTTTTATTGCAAGTAGCTTGAAAATAACTAATTGAAAATTTGTGTAGATTCACTTGAGAACATAGAGATAACACTTTAGAATAGATCGGTAAAAAAATTTGTTTTTAGAAGTTAGCAGATCATTCTACAAATTGTAGAAAGTCAGACATCGTGTATCTTTTTTTATCTCAGTTCTTAGAAAATATAAAATAAAATTTACATATACACTATTGTAAGCTTTGTCTAACCTCTAAAGAATTGTCATTTTTCTACTTTAATGCAGAATAATTGAATCTATTTTAGGTGTTAACAAAATTAGTAAATCACTACAGTAGTAAAAAAAAAGACTTTTTTAAATGTCATTTATTGTTTTTTCTCTATGGATGGATTCGGATATATATTTTTTCTCTCTTAAACTTATGTGTTCAAAACGCCAACGCTAACCACTAAATAAATTAAGTTTATCATATTACTGATGAAACAGAAACAAAAAAAAAATCTTTTGTTAAGCTTGTAACGTCAATATTGAATACAAAAAGTAAAAAAAAGAAAAAGAAATAGGTCAATTATGATTAGTAAAAAGAAAAGACTTGAAAATTATAATTACATACGTATTATGTTGATTTTCTTCTCATTATTATTACATCGAATGATAAATGATTAAAATACAATAAAAAAGCCAAATTTCGTTAAATAGAAAGATTGAAGTTGATAAATTATAACAAGATGATTCGCATTATTGTATGTGCACGTATCTAAGTGAATAATAATAGATGGACAAAAAAATGACGATACAGTGGGGTCTCATGTGTTATATCTATGTGCTCGTTTTTTGACATAAAACAACTTCCGAAACGGAAAAAAAAATTAATTGACTTAACATTGCTAATTGACTATTAAAGATTGTGTATACGTGATTTTAATTCAAACAAGTAAAATATTTCAAAAAAAAATATTCTATAATATACGTTAACGTTACATAATTTTAATGATGGATAATATGTTCGAGAAACGACACGTTCAACAGAAACACATGAAATTTTCTTAACATGTAAAAAGGAAGATGGATGAATAGATCAAATCTCATTCAATTTAACAATTGTTCGATTAATGGAAATTGAAATGGCAAAATATAAGTCTGATGTTCAAGTAAATTTACTATGAGTGGGAGCACAAAGTAGTAACTGGATACTGATTTTAAAAGAATTTCTTTTTTATGTCTAAAGGCAAATTATTTATAGTTAGGAGAAAGAGCAGTTAATGATTTAAATAGTGAGGTAATGAAGTACAAAACTGCTATAAACATGATTAACTAATCATAACGTATTTATTTCATTGATATTTCGACAGAATCCACTGTCATCATCAGAATGAATGAGTGTAAATTTACACATTGTATTTACACTTTTTTCATTCTGATGATGACAGTGGATTCTGTCGAAATATCAATGAAATAAATACGTTATGATTAGTTAATCATGTTTATAGCAGTTTTGTACTTCATTACCTCACTATGCAAATTATTTACTATAGTTACCAGCTAATCTGAGTATATTTTGAACATCAAATGAATATTTCGTTACTTCTCGAACTTCATACACTTTTAATTAATTTTAAATTGAGATCAAAGAATTTTCAACGACGGGGGGAGAGGGGTAGATGGGTGTGAATAAGTGTACGAAGTTTAGGCATGAACCGAATATTTTTATCTTTTTACGATTACAATTCGTTGAAGATGAATATTAAACTGCTCGAATTTATCATTTCATAGTAGTATGCTGCTCGATCAAACTTGGAGCTAATAGAACAGACATACAAGACTTCCTTTGGATCATAAGCGATGATAGAGATCTTGTCTATTGAAAATGATAGAAAATACCATTAATTCATCTCTATGTTTCTGAACACCATCATCATCAGTATCTTTAATCATGCGGCAGATTTTTTTTCAAGAAAAAGTATGTGCATTTTTATATCATGTCGAATTTTTAATTATCAACATTAGAAAATGTCTTTTCTGAAACACCAGGTGGATTCAACGGAAACAAAATCGTATATGATAGGTCATAATTGATTATCCAATTTAATAAATAAATTATTAAATAACAATTTCATCTTAGATACCTAGTGATACTTGTCAGCCTATTTAAGTAGGTCAATACTTACTTTTCAAAGAAATTCTATATTTAGTTTAGTAACAACCCGGAGTTTGATCTCAATCTGAACTAAATTTAGACATTGAATAGTCAATGCAATACTTTATATTTTCTCATTACGAAAGAGTTAAAAATGCCAAATATTACAAAATAATTTGTTTTTTTTTCGATACTTACTTGGTTTTAACAGTATGGTTATATTATTCTTCCGTCTCACACAATCTTCTAACATCCGGACAGCTATGCAATACGTTATTTTGCAATGTAAAAACAGTTGTAAAAAGTTCTTTTCATGTGTAAAATAATTTTGTCACTAAATTGTTAAGAAAAAGGAAGAAGAGAGAGGAAAGAATTTTTATTTTTTATTTTTTTATTATTATGACTTTTTATGCGATGGCATGTACAACTTTGAACTATGAAGAATCTTTATCTTTCTGACAATACAAAATACATATTAGAAATAACTCTATTTGAGTTGAGATTACTAATCTACTCTTTCTAATATAAGTGAATGGTATTGAAAAATAATAAATGAAATTATTGGGCAGAAGAAGGAAAAAATGTGCAATTGATTGTATTTGTCAAGAAAAAAGAGGGAGAAGAAATATATTCTTGTTACTTTAATCACAGTAACCATTCCTGAGTTATCTCTATCCTTAGTATATATATAAATATCAATTTATTTTCTATCTTAATTGATAGAAGAGAGGGTGAAATGAAGTTTGAGTGATTGCAAACGAACGATCATTCTAAAGAACGCTTAAAATAAATTAATAGACTCAAAAATAAAATTCAAGTATACAGAGACAGGAAGATAGAAATGATCAGGAATACAAATCTCACTATAGATGAACATACGTCGATGAGTACAGTATATTGTTTTGCTTTTCCATTCTATTTCGTGATATTTTTTCTTTTTATTCTGAAAAAAAAAGAAAAAGATAACAGCGAGGAGAAAAAACAAGACACACACAAGTTGATTATTTTAGTTTATATTTCACAACAAGAAGAGAAAATAACATTAAATCGATTCTATACTTGCCCTTGTCAACGGGATGTTCAATAAAAGTCAATATGTTCGGAAGAAATTGAGAGAAAAAATGTATTTTGATAACCAAAAAAAGTGACTTTTGATCACCAAATTAATTAGTAGATAGGCAATAAAAAGACTATGAAGGAAATATATACAAGAAGAAATATGAACAGAACAGAAGTTGAATTTAATTTTTTGTGAAAATTCTCTCCAGAACCCCATAGTAGAGAAGAGTTGAAGTTATATACTCGAAATCCCGTGATTTTTGGTGTTTTTTTTAACCATCCCTCCTCCTATTCGTTCAAATGCAATCAGTATAGAAAATATCCTTTTTGTTCTTTTGAAATTCAGATAATTGTGCCGGATAGTAATCCACAATTAGTGGCGGTCATGTCCAGAAATGTATATGGACAGGAACAAGAAGAACGCAATCTCACAACACGTTTACCATCACCCGTTCAGAAATCGGAACAAATGTTAAAGGACCGGTCAGAGACAAGTATTTCATCACCATTTGCTGCTGCTACAAGCATATCTCATCATATGGAGCTACGTGCTTATAAATGGTGAGTAAGTTAAAATCGTCTGATATATTACATTGGTTTAAGGTATTTTATGTTGTTCCATCATCCACGGCTACAATAACAACGTTACTTTGGTTGAATGTATCGAGCTGGTTAATAGACATCATTTGACGATTTTGTGGCATGGCAGACATCATGTTGGCTAATGCCACCGCTTACATCGTGTATGTGTCCAATTAGCCTCGAGCAATATACATGCAAACACTCAGTTGGTTTACTCTAATGAAAAACTTACTCAACTTAAACAACTTGTACTGTCTAAGACTTTTTCAAGATTGGACAAGAATGTATTAGGATCTTAATAGTAAGAACGATAACGTTTTTTAAATAATATTCATCGGAGATTCACTGGAAATTTTTCAAGTTTTAATCTGCATTATCCAAAGCAGCAGCAGTTGAACAATGTTGAAGAATGAGAAGAAATTTCATATTTTCAGGTGTCCAACTATCGACCTTGACCTGCATGTACCCTCTCTAAAAAGTTGTTGAATACTTTTGAGAGAGTAAGTACCAGCAGAGTCTGGCAGAAAAATAACCGTATAATCACTCATATTTTCGGTCACTTATATAGATGAATGAGAGCAAAACAAAAGGGTGAATGAAAGCAGAGTCATTAAATCTTATTAAGATCTTAAACGATAAGATCGTAGATGATCTTAGCAAAATCTTAAAGAATAAGATCTTATAAGATCTTAGTAAGATAATTTTAAGAAGTGTCTAAGATTTTTACTAGGGTAGCCGTCTTATTCAACATGTATCAGGTTATAAAATTGATCGTAAAATAGAATTGAAATTATGTGAAGGTATAGGATTTAATACCTTGATTGTAACGATCATTGGTGACAGAAAGTCTAATTTAGAAAAAATATCTGTCTGCCTATCGGCTTAATATTTAGGATCAGCATGCTTAGCACAGTTCAAATTAGTTTTATATTTTGTTTTCCCATGTCATATATATTCGATCGGATTTGACAGTGTCACAACAGATTCTATTGAATTCTGATTAGACATGCAACAGTTTGGATTAACTGATACTCGATATAACAGAATAAAACTTTTGTATTTGCACATTCTTGAAAATACATTTGAAATCGTATGCAGGAAACATCTGGGAATATTCATCCTAGAGAAGAAAATGTTCATTGTTGTCCGATGGTCATTTTTTGTACTTGATATTTTTCACAAAAATTCAAGAAAAAAAACTATAATCTTCAAAATAACTTTTTTTCCTTAAATTTTAATGAAAAATGTCAAGTACAAAAAATGACCACCGTACATGTCTAATTTTGATACGAATTCGACAGGTTCCAACAAGATGCGACGATCGGAATGTTCAATCTGGATAGCTAAAATTGCAATTTTAACACAAATTCAACACAAGATACGTGCATTATTATTTAATTCTCTTTCTGTAGAAATATGGATGGATACGCACAATTCGGCCAAGGAACAATTTTTTTCACTGAGAACTAATGTAACTGTTTACGATATAATAATCTTTTCTACTAATTTTTGCCCGTGTAAGAAGAAAAAGTGCATAATCAATTTAATTTAGCTATAATTTTAATTGAAAATGATCTACGACAAGGGAAATCTCATAATCTAGTCTGTAATTCAATCTGGATTTATACCAGTAGAAATAAAACAATAAAAGTAGTCATGTCAGAAAACCATTTCTTGCGCAAATAAAAAGTTAAAATAATCATCGTATGCGTGTTTAACTTAAATCCAATATTTTGATGTTTGAATTATACCTATATTATATTGGTACGTGTCAGATTGCACATCTTTATCTTGATTGTTGTTTGCATTACTGTTAATTTTATCATATCCTGACACATACAATGTCAATAAACTCAAACAATAAAAAATAATTACACCTCCTCAAAAAGAGAAAAAAAAAGAGATAAATCATTAATAAAAAATAATTGCATGACAGATGGATATCAATTAAACGATACAAGTGGACGATCATGTTTATCTGAAACGTAGGCGTAGACTGCTATTTGAATAAGTTTTTATTTTTTTATCTCGATTATATTCAAAAACATGGCTTATGATTTTTACAGAATTTATATTGTCTTAGTCTTAGTTTAGGCATCTAGTTATGATTTATATAATTATGTCAAATAAAAATGATAAATAAATGATTATATTATTTTAATTATACTGGAAGACAATTTCTAATACACATAAACAAACAGTTTTCCAAGATACACATTATGTACCCTCAATGTTGTGTACTAAATAATATCTTTTTTTTCTAGACAAGTTTGTTTTGAATTAATGGCGTAGTTAGTGACTAGGCGCAGCTTTGCCACTGAATATTTTTGTTCACTCACTAAAAACTTTATATTCACATCCTTCTGAGCTAATATTTTATAATCAATTAATTGTGTAGATAAGTTTGTTAGATAAACAATATTTTTGATCAAATACTTATAAAAGATTGAGATCTTTTCGATTGTGTGTGTCGTAAAATGTGTACTTACGACTACTCAAAAAGAAGTGTGACATCAAAAATAGTAGAATTCTAATTTCCCACTTTTCTGTCTCTTTGAAACAATTTGGGACAACGTTTCATCCCTTCAAACAACGTAAATTCAATGATTAGTGTGAATAGATAATGAAGGCGTGTTTCTATCCACAATTGCTCTCATAATTAATAATAATTTATTTCGAAAATATTCATCATCGTCATCTTCACCAACTTTTATCTGCTTTTGTCCTTTCATGTCGATGAAATTTGTCTGCAGATGGCAATCATCTATGTACCTGGATAATATCATTTCGTGATTAATAATCAAACCACGAATACTTCTTTTGTCGTTTTTCACTACACATCGGAATGAAAAGATCAATGTGGCGACATAGAAATAGAAGCAATGTGTATAAAATATCACTCAAATTGGATGAAAAGAAATCAAATGGCCTTAAAAATCTTACTTAGTATACAGGTATTCCGAATACCTGTATACTAAGTAAGATTTTTAAGGCCAAAAACCAAAGGCTTTGGTTTGACAGATGAACAAGAGATTTTTCGACGCATTAGTTATCTTTACAAACATCAAGTACAACGTCTTCACATCTCATTCCGCTCAGTTAATCAATATTCCGTCTGCCATAACCATGTACTTTTTCATTTTCTGAAAATTCCATATGCCTTCTAATTTAGAAATGGTGCACACACACACACACAGTACAATTGGTAAATCGATGAACCGCTTTTATGTTAAAGAAATGTCAGGAATAGTTTAGGTGTAACTTTCCCATTTAGCTCTACAATTTTTTTCAATTGTTTATTTTACAAAATATGAAAAAACGCCAGCTTAGCAGTAATTACAGACTTTGATTTATAATTTCAATCAATACACGACTGATAGATCTTGAAAGGATATAATCTCGATCATTTGTTCAAAAACAGGCCGCAGTTAACAACATTATCATAGCTTCAAGAACGATTGAGGAATTCAGGAGTACGATTCCATCTTAATCACAAAGGATTAAATAAATAAAATATCTTTATTGCTATTCAATACACACTATTCGTGCACCGTCTGAACTTGATGACTACATTGTTGACATTGTCGAACATTATCGTATGTTTAGTGACGGATTCAGAATTTTTCTTAGGTTAGGTAGACGCTGTACGTAAGAAAAGTATGAGATACGTGTGGTCGCTATAGAATGCAATTTCTTGAGGCAGCTCTGCTGGGCAAAAATCCTTCTTCTTTTTCCCTAATGGTACGAGCGATAGCTCGCTGGCTGAACCTGCCAGTGCACATGTTCTAGCTAAACTAAAACTATCAATTTCTTTAAATTTTCTTTCGCAAATATAAATAAGTTATGTGGATTTGAAATCTTGTTTTTTTGAAAGAGAGAAATAAAAGTGATTGATGAAATAGTTGTGTGCAAGACAACTGCTTAGCATGGGGCAAGAAGTTCATTAGTTTGACGGCATAGAATGAAAAATATTCTAGTGTTAAGTACAAGCTAAGATTATCGAGTATAAAAACTTGCATTTCTTTAGTCTTCTGTGAATTTTATACCGTTAAAAACTTCAATACTATTGGTTCTTTTTGTTTTATAATAGTGTTTATTTCTCGTAGAATATACCCTTTTAGAGATCGTATCTAATCTGTAATTGGATATTATTCGCCAATGGGATTCGATCATTTCTAATTATCTACAACATATAATTTGATGATCTTCGTGTTCGATTAGGATTACAGCACACTAGATAGGCGATATTGGAACACTTTTGTTTTGCTCGTACTGATGATTTGTTCCACAAAATTATTCGCTTCAATAGCAATCTCCCTTAAATTAAGTAACGCATGTTATTAAATTGTAACTGAATTTATGCAAAATACGGTAGTCTTAAAAATATCTGGCCATCCTCAATTCCAAGTATTACTTTCCTATGTGTTAACATCGGTTTCTTTTTTGCTGTAGATTTTCACTTCTTGTTCTTGAACACCAATTGTCTCCAGTATATGAACATTACGTTTCAGATATTACACCAAAACAAGAAATGTTTATATTCTATGAAAATGAAAAGCTCTCTCTCTCTCGGAAGATTCTTTCTTTTCTTCCATCATGTGTATTTGTTTTCGTGTTTACATTCACAAGTAGATTAAAAAATAAAACTCCCCCTCCCTTCCCTTGATAAGTTACCATTAAATATTTATATGATTGTTTTCTTCATGAAATTTTCAAATTTAAGCTGAGAAAAGCGAAAAATTTTCGCTGGAACTATCTACTATTCATGATGATAGATAAATGACTAAAACAAAGAGCTATTCACAGACCAGAGATGCAGAATCTACCCGGGAGACTGAAAAATTTCTCTCGACAGACAACGTTTTTCAAAACCTTCCCCGACATAATCCACTAACAGAATTTCTTTTTGCAATATATTTGTAAAAAGTTGTTTCAGTTTTTCAAAAAATTTACCAAAATCAGTAAGTTTTCCCCCAACGATCGCCGAAGCAAACAGGCAGATTCTGCAGCTCTGTCACAGACACATCCATTTATAATGTAGATTTTTCATGCTGAAGGTAAAATTTCTAGATTAACGCGTTTTTACGTTCATAATAGCGTTTTAGACGTAGCTCTTAGCCCTAGAGTACCAAAGCTATTATGTTTTGTTCTACAGCCAAAAACTATCCTTTCTGTCTTGAGTATTATCAATAAACGCCACTCGTGCAGAAAATAAAGATGTTTCCTTTTAAGGTTTAATATATAGTTATTATACATCATTTATATTTCAGATTATTTTCCAGGAAAAATGGCGAATGAAAATAGTTCGATTTTTGATGGTTCAGCAAAGTAAGTATTGCAGTAAAATTCTCATGTCCCCATCAAAAGACCTCTAAATAAATTGATGACTACGAACCGATGACCAGTAAAAAGATAGCTGATCACAATTAAGATGTTCCAAAATTTATAAAATGTTTTTCTGATCTAAGAATATTTAACCTCCTTAAGCTTGCTGTTAATCTTCAATTGAAAATCTTTGTACATGTAATAGGTAGGCAACCATTAATATCAGTTGTCGTTTTACTGGTCATTGATTATTTCTTCGCAATCACTATATTAACGTCATGCGTTTACAAATACATTATTTTTCTAATGTCGATTTTATATGATCGCATTGTTTTTATTTAGAATGAAAAAATCGATTGAGCAGATGAACTTGATGGACGATAGCAAATTTAGCAAACTTTTAAATCGAGTTGTTGAAAAAACTGGTAGCCGAGTAAGTTATCGACTATAATGAGTCGTCATGATATATTTAAGTGTTGTTTTGCTTTCTTAAGAATGAAACAATATTTTCAATGGACGAATTATCAAAATTAGAAAATGTACTTGAACTATCGATCGATGATTTAAAAAATTTAACGGAAACAATCGAATATATATTTCTTCAAGTAAGTTTAAATGCATTTTTTATTTCTATTTTTTATGTTGATCGTACAATGTTCTTTAGGCCGCATATTATATGGCAAAATCCAATGTACTCGAAGATGATTTAAAAAAACAAAATTTAAATGCTGCTAAAGTAAAAATAAAATCATTTTAGTCTTTTTTTGTATGATAAAAATGATTGTTTTTTTTTTTAGATAAAAATATTTTCTGATCAATGGTCAAAGAGTGCAAAGGATATTGTTGATCGGCTGAAAAATGCAAGAGTTTCAAAACATTTTGTAAGATTTTAATTTAGAATATTAGTAAACATGAGAGAAAATTTTTCTTACAAAGATGTGCCAAATTTCTTACAATAGTACATTGAAAATGTATCATCTCTAAACATTAGTTAAACTTGGTGTATTAGAATATGTCTTATCTTCTATTATTTAGCTATCTGATTTACGATGGACAATTGATGTCGGCATTTCTCAAATGTCGAAAAGTAAAGTGAAAGAACCGCTTGCTGTTTATGAATTTCAGTTAATGAATGAAGAAACACAGGTAAGTGAACACATAAAGTATATTGAGTAATTATGATCATCTTTTATTTTCAGAAAATAGATAAACTGCAAACAGAATTCACAAAAGAAGAACTTTATGCATTTTTCGAAAAAGTGAGTACAGTGCAATTATTTTTTATCAATATGGCAGCATACGTTTTCTATTTTAGTTAGAAACAATACAAAGTCATCTTGATGCATTGATGACCTAATTGGAAAATTTTGAATTTAGTTTTTACAAGTGCAATAGTTGTTGTTTTCTTCTTCAAGTTTTTGTATGTGTTTTTGTGCTATCAATCTGTTTGTTTCTTTGATTTTCTACTATTATATGTGTAACAGTGGTAATTTTGTGTTCGTCTTTTCTAAAGATTAGTTTTATTTTTATATTTTTATTGAATTGAGATTAAATTTATACATTTTTCTATATTTTTTCTTGAAGACACCTAAAGGCAAATAGATTGTTGCATATATTCTTATAAGGATAAGTGTAATCACTTTAAATTGTTTGCTCACTGGTTCTACATCTATATTATTTATCATTTTTTTAAGATGAACTATTGAAACTTTATGGCGTTACAGAAAGCAAAGGTGATCATTTTTTTTGTTTTTATTTATTTATTTTAAAAAAGTAAATAGGTTATTTTATATATTTCAGCAATTGGGTACATTTTCTCGTCTATGGTATTTGTATGATGCTAAATGGCAAGATCCAAATATCTCGGGTGAAACAATTGCACGAATAATTCGAGGTGAACATAAACCAATTTATTATCCGACCGGTAAAGTGTAATACTTTGTTGACAAAATTGTACAAAATATGGAAAAAAAATGTATTTTTAATTTTTTAGAGGAAGTGGGTGATTGTGTTGTAGCAATTAATACTCGTCATGTCTCATTGAAAAATGATAGCTGGAGAACAGAAGCATTTCATCATCGAAGAGAGTAAAGTTGCTTAAAATACTTTGCACACAATTCATAGTTAAACAAAGTTATTGCAAGAATTATTATTACTTTTTTAGTTATGCTAGAACAAAATATGATATCCCATTATTTAAACTACACGAAATTGATCCAACTAAAGTAAATTATATGTAAGATAGCAATGAAAATGATTTATGTACTATTTCTGTCTCTTAAGATTGTACATTTATGTGTGAAAAATTGTATACCAATGGATGGTGCTCGCCGATTTGAAATGGCAAGACTATTCACATTTCCAGATGCGGTATCTTTCTTTATTGACAACATAGTTTTAACAAAACTATTCACGATTTTTCACTCTAGGATATTCCTGTTAATTTTATGAGAAATGTTTGTGATCAAATACGTGGTTCTCGTGTTATACCACGTCGTTTAGATGAGTTGAAAGCAGATGATATCAAGAATTTTCCCTATCTATTTAAATGGTATGTTGTAAATTTGATGTAAAATTATAACTAAGAGTTATTGTTTCTTGTTTCATAGGCCAAAAGAATTAGTGCTTGACGATCTTGATCGTGATAAATTTGTAAGAATTGTGCCTCCAGAAGAACTACCAAAACAAGAAGTGAGAACAGGATTGAAAGGGAGCAGAAATCATTATTGGTTTTATATAAAAACTGCAGAGCATGAAGAAGTAAAGATCAACTAATTTTGTTTTATTTTCTCTGTTTATTACCTTTTTGTTAGTATCAGTTTCTTTTCTACAATGTTATTTTTTAAAATAAAAATAGAAGGTTAATTATTTCTGTATTCTTTGTTATTTGCTCAATGTCATTGTCGATGAATAAAGAGATAGCTTATAGATTAAGCATCAGAAGCTTTTCACTAGGAAAGTTTTGCGATATATGGGATCAATAAGGATATATGTTAAAAATAGTAGCAAATAACTCAAGCATAGCGAGCTGTAACATTTAAACTCATAATATAAAAGATGTATTAAAGCTATTAGTTAAGGGTGGTTAACATTGATATTAAATTGGTATTACAGAGTCATGCATAATTGTGACAGGAATATTAGTGTTTTGTGTTAGCTGTTATTAGATGTGCTGTTTTTAATGAATTGTCGTTCTTTGACTGTTCATCAGTTTAAAAAAAGGTTATCGTATTCTCGTATCTGTCATTCTGTTCTCTCATACTCCATATAAATAACAACGATGTACCTGGTATTCTGACTCATTGTTTTTGTATTTGTCATTATTATTTATGTTCAGGTATTTTATATTTTATCAGAACGGCTTTTTTCAGATCAGCATCTGAGTAATGAATAACTCACCGTCAAGTAAAGAAAAAATTGACTGTTACTACTGTTCATGCAACGATGGAAGAAAAGTAAAACTCAAAGTCGTTTTGTTTTTCTCTTCTATCATTCATTTTAGAATGAAAGATGTTTTTATAGGACGGAAAGAACGAACGAGAGTACGTGCACTTTTCACTGGTTATATAAGAACATATACTACGTCACTTTGCAAACACATAATTGACTCTTTTCTTTTTTTCTTTTATATATTCGAACGACAACCGCTTCGACTCATAGGAAAAGAAAGGAAAAAGATTTTTTCTTACAGAAACAAAATTATATTCTATTAGAAAAATAGAAAACTTTTAAAAATAAAGAATCCAAGAATACGAAGAAATCTTAGAAGAAATTCTTGAATTAGATGTTTTAATGTAAATGGACGATTCAGACTGGAACACGCTTGATTACGAAGATCTTGGTATTCGACCATTTCAATGGGATAAAGATTTAGACGATAATATAAAAACAACAACGTCCATATTCAATAATAATGAAAAAGAAGAATATACTTATGATTTGACGATTGGTTTAGCTGAATTTTCAACATTTAAAAAAAATGATGAAAATAGTCCGTCCGAAGATGAGGAATGTGAACGAGATCCTGAAACAGGTAACTATGCCAAATGTTAAAAATAAACGTTTTTCTTTTAAACTGATTGAAAGATTGAATAAACCTCAATCAAATAGAATTAGTACATCAGAGTGAATATGATTATATCAATTGTCACTAGTCTAACGCTCGAGTATCTTTGCACTAATGATTTTTTTCTGAAAAAGTCGATAAAACAGGTTAGATCAATTTAACTTTTCTTCTATTAAAAGAAAACAATGTTTTACCAGTAGTTGTCTCACAATTGATTAAGATATAGAATTAAAAGAGAAACAATTTGCCTTGTTTCAATTGATCAGATATTTTAGTTTTAGACGAGATTTTTTGTTTAAATTTAAACTTGAGCCACAGTTGAATGAGTTTTCAGTTTGGATATTATTGACATACTTATTCTTTTGTGCGTATCCTACATTAACATAACATCTTTCAAACGTTCTTTTGCGCGATAGAATTTCCAAGACAGTAAGACTTCGTTGCAAATACTTTCAGAAACTGGAGTGACTAATTGTTTGTTTTGATGACAAATTTTGTTCAGAAATTTCTTTGACCTACATATGAGATAAGATATCGTCATATTCTACATTTGACTAGTTAAATAAATATTAAAAATAGAAAATGTAGTCTAAATATGCGACCTCATTTTTTCATGTATTATCATTATTTGCTTTTCTAATATGTTACATTCATCAGAAAACCGCATATTTAGAGAGCGAACAAATTTTTCTTGACCAAAGTTAAAAATAATTTTAACGTCATTCACCTTACATTCTACTTATCATCACTTAACCATGTGTCAATATTTACCTTAAACAGATCTAATGTTTTAAGCCAAATGAATATGTAGTCCAAGGGTTGTTGACATCTATTTTTATTTGTTTCTAAATTATGATAGAGAAAAAAAAGTTAATTTTAAATTCTAGGTGAAAAAATCTTCATTGGTCATTCAGAAGATGTTGTGTCCGATGATGAAGGTCATTCACCAACAAATGTAAGAATTTTTTGTACTATTTTTGTATTACATTCAAATATAAAATATTTTATTTTATTCTCTTTTAGACTGCTAAGTGGATCGAAGATTATTTATTGAATATTGAAACGAATTTCTCATCAACATCACATCAATTATTGCCAACATCATCCAAGGATAATAATCAAGAAGACGAATTACCATTTCCATTATTATCGTCTAATGATAACAACGATATAAAGTGGTTCAGTGACCTATTAAATGATCAAGATATTTACGATCCTGAATTGGTATCTAATTCTGCAACAACAATGGATTCCTATATGTTCGGTTTGCCAAATATGATTCCATTATCACCAACGTCATCATTTCGCTTAACAAATACTACATATAATCCACATCGTATAACAACGACCACAAATGATCATGAGCCATTAGTGTACAACTATGACAATAAGAGAATAAGTATTATGGAATCTGTAGATGATGATCATTTATTAACAAATGATTCACTTGATCTAACGAATTTATCATCAATTGGTTCAGGAATTTTATCAGAACAACTTAATAGTATTGATAATATGGATTCGCCAATGTTGTCAACATCAGTAAAAAATTCACATTTAAGTTTATCAATAGATTATGATACAGAATTATCATCCAATGACTATACAAGACAATTTCATTCGTTAGATGTAAGCCTACTGATTTTGAGACAGATGAATGAATAAAAGATTTATTTGCAAGTTTTTTACTTTAAATAGTAGTCTATTAGTGAATAGCTTAGTAAAACAGAAATTTCTTTTGTTTTAGCACGATTCGACAACGAATGATAGTGAAATGACATTGGATGAAAGTTCAAACGATCATCAACACATTGAGACAAAAGTAGAAAAGATAATATGTACATGAAAAGATTTTCATATTTTGTTTAATTTTAGACCGAGCCATTTGATGAGATTCCAGTACTCAGTACTCAAGAATCAATTGATCGAAGAATGTTACATGTATTTCGTACATCGACTCGTTCAAAACGACAACGAGATGAAGAAACATTACGTCGATATAATATACAAATGTCATTAGATGAAATAACACAATTATCAACGGAAAATTATAACAAAAAAGTAACAGAAATGATATTTACAAATGAACAATTACACATTATCAAAGATATTAGACGTCGTGGTAAAAATAAAGTACGTTGTATTTTCTCGTTGATAATTTCTATAAAAATTAGAAATTAAATAATTTTTCAGGTTGCTGCACAAAATTGTCGAAAACGAAAAGCTGTCAATGTTGAATCATTACTTGAAGAAGTTGATGAATTAAAACGTGTTAAAATGTTACTTGAAGAAAAACGAAAATCTTTAGAAGAACAAGTATGTTTAAAATGAAAATGAATTTACTCTAAATTTTTAAGTATCATTGTTTATTATTTATAGATTACCTATACAAAAATTGAATATGAAAATTTACATAAATTATATTTACCAAGTAAAAAAATGCCACCATTAGCTATCTTAGTTAAATAACTCTATTTTTATTCTATTTCATTGTAAATATTTATATTGTCGACCAAGAACTAACGTTACCATTTTATTTATTTAGTTTTCTGCTTATTTTTATTGTATATTCTTTTTTCCGGTGGTATCAAAATTTCTTTTTTTGTCTATATTATATCTTCTTGCTCGCCCATGTCGTCATATGTAGTCTTTTTTTAGAGTAAAGTTACTAACAGTATATTATAGTTTGTTTGTCTGTACATCACTGCTTATAATCAGTATTATATTGCTTTTAATATGAAAATATATGCGTGAAAACAGGCAGCGTTTTGTATTTTATTTATCAATTTGTTCAGAAAAATATTTATTTATCCTAAAAATAACGTCTATTTTTCACTACTATGAAACGAAAAAAAGAAAAAGAAAAATAGTTAATGAAAAAATAACAGAAGAATAATTTCATTGACAATCACTTATTTATTTCATTATACAAAAATTAACTATCAGCTATACAATATTATGATATACAAAATTAACCTATAAAAAAAGAAGAAATTAAATTAAATTTGACTGTTCACATGTTAGATATCCAACAGGATTTTTTTTTATAAACGTTGATCAAGCGCTCGAAGATACTTGGTTGCAATAATTTTTGGAAGTAGTTTGTATCTAGAAACATAATAATTAGATAAAATTATGATTAATAAAGTTCTCATCCTCATTCTCAGAAAATTCATAGAATAGAACATTACAATGTTATCATTTTGTTCTTCTTCTATATTTACCTGAAAGCAACCATCAATACAAGCCACAATGGTAATGCTAATTTTGTGTAAAGTATTGGCGAGAAACCGAGTGCACATAAAATAACGAGTTGTACAATCTGTAACATTGTAAATAAATGCATTTTACGTTGTGGTACTTGACGAATATAATGATTTGGTGGATAAGCAGCCTACAAATAGAAGAAATTTAAAATATCTATTGAAAAAAGAATATAAAAACATACTTGTTCAGTGAAAAATAATGAAACACGTTCAAAACATTGATTACCATCAAGCGATGTTAAAGCCAAATATAAAAATAATCCGTCTAAAACTGGTGTTGGTATTTTTTTCAATACTTCACTCATTAGTAACGAAGCACCGATGAGTGAATGTGAAATGAGAATTGTAAGACGAGTTTCACGAACTTTGACAATACTAAATTTTAATAACGAAAGAAAGAATTTCTTTTTTTACCAGAATCTTATACCATCTATCGATCACTTACACAGATTGAATATGACCACCTTCAACTCTTTCTTCAGTGTCAGCTAAAGCTTTGACATGCAATGGAGATAATGGAAGTGCTCCTTAAAAAAAGAAATATCAAATTTTTTTATTGATTAGAATGATGATTAGCATGATCTGAAGAAAAAATACCTACCATGCATCCATGTTAATCCAAATACTGATAAAAGTCCATTCAAAATAGCAATAACAAATAAATCAATATGAAATGCTTTTCCTTTCTTTAGCCTAGTTAAAACAGAAAAGTTGATAAATAGGGATTAAGATGGACTGGATGACTTTCAGAAAAAAACTTTCATTAAAGCGTTTCTTTTTTAATGAAAGTGCCGGAACTTTCATTAAAATTTTTTAATGGCATAAAAATTTTATCTAATATATATACATATATGTCGCTTAGCAAAAGATACTTGTTTCAGTACATTTTTTTTTCAAATACACTTATTTTTGGATCTTTAACTTATATTCTGTTCATCGAACTTTCATTAAAATGTCTCTTGCAAACTGACGGTGATCTGAAGTTTTATAAAAGTTTTTTGATGACACAAAAATTTCATTAAAAATTTTAATGAATTTCCTGTTAATGAAAGCTTTTTGATGAAAACATTTTTAATAAAACTGATATTCTCTCCCATTAAGACTGAAACAAACAAAAAAAGTCTAACTTGTTCGAAGGCGAATTAACGATAGCACCAGCAATGTTTTGATCGAGAAATATCAACAAAGACAAAGAAAATCCAAGTATGGCTGTACATGTAATTTGTAAAAATGTAACAGACTTAAATCGTGCCAATGAGAAGAGATTTTCACGTGCAACAGAGAATGATTGAACTAGAATTAATAGGGGCAAAATAATAAATCATTTCTTTCTTTACATACTAACATTGTATAAACTTCCTTACGATTAATCTGCTTAAATAAAAGACTTCCCGTCAAAGTCATCAGTATTACGGACACCGGTAATGCATAATCGGCAAGTAATTCCCGCTTGGCAGAATTTAAATACGGTCTAAAAGAGAAGAACATCTTAAGTTATTTACAGTAAAATAGTACGGCGCTCCAAATTCAAGGGTACAGCACTATTTTTTCTTGTGACTCAATTATAGATCATTGGATGTAGAATTTAACACTGATCACGAATATCTACTTTTTAGCCTTCCCAGTACACGTTTTGCGTGAAAAAAATTCAAAAGCTGAAATTCACCGTTTTTTCTAAAAAGCTCTAATTTCTTTTGACGCTATTCGATCTGCCTTGAAGCGTAAAACAAAGATAGTTAGCCTTTCTTTGAAATTCCTTTCCGTTGCTGAAAAAGTTCATTTCGTCTAAATCAGAGCCGAAAAAGTCAGAATGTCAGTCCTAATTCTCAATTTCCTCCATCAGAACTCAATTTTTATGTAATAGAAGTATCATATTTGGAATCAGGATCAAAAACTGAGTCAACTAATGTATATTTCGAAATTTTTAGTTGATTTTCATTTTTTAGTGAAAATCTTGATAATTATTTTTCAACGTGAATATTCGACAAAACTAAAGTAGTCGGATAAGATAGAAATACACATCAGTCCACTCAGTTTTTGATCCTGAATCCAAATATGATATTTCTATTGCATAAAAGTTGAGTTCTGGTGGAGGAAACTGAAAATTAGGAGTAGAATTCTGACTTTTTCGGCTCTGATTTAGACGAAATGAACTTTTTCAACAACGGAAAGGAATTACAAAAAAAGGCTAACTATCTTTGTTCAACGCTTCAAGGCGGATCGAATGGCGTCAAATTCAAGGTTCCATCTTTTAAGGAAAAAAACGAGATAGGTTTGCTAGTAAGAGTCAGGAAAATTGACGTCTTTCAACTTTGCGTAGCCCCGGAACACTTCTATTCGTTTTGAAACCTTGAAATATAGTTTTCTGTATGCAGTTTTTGACGCTGAACAAGAAAAACACTTTTTCAGGGTTCCAGAACCAGACCGAACTGTGCTTTCAAAAATGAGAGATTTTTTGTAAAAGGGCGAATTTCAGCTTTTGAATTTTTTTCACGGAAAACGTGCACTAGGAAGGCTAAAAAGTAGATATTCGTGATCAGTGTTAAATTCTACATCGAATGATCTATAATTGAGTCATAAGAAAAAATAGTGCTGTAACCTTGAATCTGGGCCTTACAGTTATTTTCTTACGTTTGTTTGAATTTGTATAAAAATGTACCCGTCCAAACAGTTCCGAGTGTTAATAATAAATACAACAAACTAGAATCTCTCGAACATTGTCCTAAATAAAAGTTATCATGTCAACTTTTTCGTTTTCCTAAACTTCTATTGAACTTACCATTTAAATAATCCGTTATATTTGTTGTTTTATTCATATGTCTATTTCGCCAATATTTATCATGCTCTTCACATGCAATTGTTTTATAATTTGTAGAAAAATCTGTTATAATAATATCAGTATATTGTCATTATTGAAGAGTACAATGTCACCAAGAAATCAACTTACTTGTATGTACGTGTTTACCAGCATCAACAAGAAAAGCAATTGAAACAAATAATGCAAAAATTTCTTCAGTTGATCTACAATATACATCATTTAATGTTTTAATAATGAGACTAAGATAGAATTTTACCTTGTTGACCATTTCATTATTTTACTAAGCCCAAAAAATGAGTATAAAATAAGAAAAAATGAATTCCATAGGCCAACTAATGCGTACATATCTCGAAAATCTAATTGATACCATGCACAAATTGTATAAATTACTAAAATGATCATAAATGTTAATATACATACATTATATTAATTTAGTTAATACCTTTAACATAAATAGTCAATGGAGCTGTGGTCATCACTACGATTAAAGGTTGTCCACCAAAAACAGCAAAAAATATTCCACCTAAACATTGAGCAACAACAGCTTCTGGTACACCTATAATAAAGAACAAATATTTGCTTTATTTGTATACAAATGAATTGTGGATATTTTTTGTTTTATTTACTTATTTGATTGTTGGTAGCACTGGAATTAAGAACTCCAAATGCAATACTTGGTAATAAACATGCAAAATATAAAAATATTGTTGTTGAAATGACTTTTTGTATTCCACGATGTGTTTTGAATACTAAAATAGTAAAATTTAGCAAAAGAATAAGTGATACTGCTCAATAATATAAATGAATCTTAAATTTTTATATAATATACTAACGTAACTGTCATAGTAGTCAGCACAATAATGCGGTATTCGTCGTAGAAAATCCATCCATATGTCAGATAAAATTGGACAATAATATGTTTTTACTTTGAGCATCTAAGAATAAAAGTAAAAAATAAAAAAATAAATCATTCTTATTATTAGTGAATCTCTATAAAAGATAGAAATGGACTTTTACCTCAGTATTTGTATTATTATCTTCAAGTTGATCTTGATCAGCATCACGATTAGCAGCAGAGATTTGCTGTTGCTCCATTAAACCATCTGTATGTTTCTATATTAAATTGTAAAACAAAAATGATCATATCTATTTTTGTTCATTTATTCTTCTAAATACTCACGTCTATAATGGATATAAATTCTTGTTGTGTAGCAGCTTTAAGTAATTTTGCTCTCAACTCAATATCAGCGAAGATTGTGGCAAATGTTCGTCCCGTTTCGAGAAAATTCTTTGTACCTTTCTAAAAAAATTCAATAATAAGATACTGATAATATATCATACACTAAGAAATGACCTCTTTCATTGGAGATAATATGAAAATGATAAATCTTGCTTCTTGACAATTTCTACCAAAATTACATGGATTTTTCAATCTAGCTATTGCTACATGTCGTCGTTGAACAGAAGGTGATGTAGACATGATAGCTAACCACGATTGATCATATGTCCAATTTGTTTCTGTGGCTGTTGTAGCTTGTAATGTTTTTGATAAAATTTGAACTACAAAGAATAGTTTTATTATAATTATATAATGTAACAAAATAAGATAAAATAAATACCTCGATCATTAACAAATAGTGAATGTTTTATTTCTTCAATATTTAAATTTTCTCGATGCGCCGTTGTTGTATTATTTGGTGTACTCATTATTTTTCGAATCATTATTTCCATTAAATCCCAAATGCTTGTATCGGGAACATCCAATAGAACAATAGCGCTATAGATAAACTCTTTAAAAATAAAATAGTTTTTAAAGTTAAAAATTAAAGAGAATTCTAAATATTTTTAATATCTACCTTTAATATCTTTTCCACCTCTGACTTCAGCCGCGAAATCTTTGAGTGGTATATGCTTTAAATAAAATAAAAACAAGTTCAAAACAATATTTTGTATAATTTTAATAGATCATGTAGAAAATCATTTTATAATGTCAAAATTGAACAAAATTATAAAACTGTAGACATACTTCGGATTTGTTGTACACAAGTTGTATTTGAGCATTGTCTTCTTAATAAACAAATAATAAATTCATTTATTTAAATAATTCGAAAAAAATTCATTAGAAAATTGACGAGAAAATATATATGTTGAAATAATTTAATTTATTTGAATTATTTCTGTAAAAATTTGTTCAATTAAAAAAGATATTTGACCTAATTAGCTAAGATTGATGCTGTTACAGTTCTAAATCTATGGTCAACTGAGACGTCGTCCTGACAACTATTATTGCTTAAGTTAGTAAGGATGATTATCTTCCATTTAGATTTCAGTAAGTTATTCCCTAAGATGTCAATTTTGTTCTTCCTGTTTTCTAGAGGCCATGATAATGACAGTACTAAATTACTGCTGATTTTGTTTCTTCTTTTTTTTTTTCTTCTTTCATAAAATGAAGAAAGAAGTTACCACCCTATGCTGAGTGAAACAATGTATTAATTAAATTTTAATAGTAAATCTTGTAGAGAAAGAGTGACGAATCAAATTACACATAACACATTTTATCTCTCTCTCTCTCTCTCTCTCTCTCTCGTTTCACTCTTTGTCTCTTTCGCTTCTTCTAAGTACGAAAATATTATGATACTCGGCGATAATAGTAGAAGCTCATTCTCCGTGGGTGATTTCTGTACGTTCTTTCTAAGGATATTAGATTATCATCTTTAACACACTTATTCTAAAAAAGAGATCTATTGAAAAAGAAAACCTTTTTATATATCTTGTATGTATCTTTTTTTTTTTTTATTGATTATAACTATTTTCTCGTTTTTTTTTCCTTTTATGATGTTTTTTTAGTAAATGAAAATCAAATGTATTTTGAGAATGTTTTAGTATACAATAGACTGTCTGATGGATATATTAGAGTTGTGTATTATCACCATATTCTGTCTATAATACATTGCTGTGTTCATATTACTCCTTTGAGTTTATATAATATATAAAATGAATCAAGATTCCACCAACACTGACATATACAAAAAATTTTCTAAAAAATTCTAGTTTAATAGCAACGTGTCATAAAAAAGAATAAGTATACTTTTGGATCTAAAATTTATCGATCATGATAATGATGAAGTATTATTCAGTGTATTTTAATAACCTAAGTACAAAAGTTGATGGTTATTGTCAAATTTAGATTTATAAAACTGTTTCAAATCTATAAATGAATTATACTACAATTTAGCGAAGATTATCTGTTGTATATTCTATAATTTCAAACATCTGTGTGCTATTTTCGTTCTATTCTCTTTTTTTGGTTGTTGAATGATAATAACAGCATAATTTATCCTTATACATTCAACATAAATTCAGACAAAGTATCATTACACTACACTTCCTTATTATTAACAGAATTCTTAAAATAGTATAACTATAATAATAATGTACAACATCATTATATTAGAACGAACCAAACTAACCTTTTTCAATATCATATTGCTCTACCGATTGATAACTACAATTATCTAATTGTTGTACAATTCGTAACGAAAATTCAACAGTAGTACTCATTCTTTTACATTCATTTACTAACAAATTTCACATATTTCTTTGACTCTCTCTCTCTCTCTCATCCATTCAACTATACTGTTGTATACGTGCAAGTTAAATCTTGTTTCTCTCAAGTGACCGATTGTATTGCCGATTTAGAGGAGATTTTATTTTGTCCTCAATTTGATAGTAATGAAGTAACATGTCTGTTTCTCACATTTCATCTCTCTTGTGCAATAAAAAATACTCTGTCGACGGTTATATATACGTGAAAATATTAACGATTTTTCTCATTTTTTTTTTTTCATGTCTTATTACTATTATTATCATTTGTTCAGTATAAACGGTAGTTTTCTAATCAAACAAATTATGGATAACACCAAGAAATCACGAATGAAATAAGTATAATATGATGACATTTGTGACAGAAATTGGCTGGGCGTTTTTTTTTCTGGACAAGCATGTTGCATTGCATTACATTCACTCACCATCAACAAGAAAAATTGTTTTGTTTCTCATCAAAAACAAAATTATTTTTCTTTTTTTCCTATTTCATTCAAAGATTTTAAATGTCCACTATTGAACAGGTAGAACAGAGTAATTCATTAGATTAATTCTGATGTCTCTGTTATGATTCTTATATTAGAACTCACAAGATCCACTTTTCTTTTTCTATTGTTAAGTAAATCAAATTTAAAGACAAATTCAATTTACATAAATTAATTAAATATTTAAATGTGCGCTTAAAATCATATTTTCTTACCCCTCACCAATTGCCATTCATTTTGTTCATATAGCCAACGTGATGTTTCTTCGACGGGCGTTGACTCTTTGGTGGGTTTTCGTCGAAAACTAAATTTTCTTGAACTCCCTCCGTGTCGTCGTAATGATGATTCAGTACGGTTCATTTGTTATTTATTTGTATTTTGTTATTTTTACACACACATATATATATATATATATCTTTATGTAAATGAATTGTGCACTTAGCTACTGTTGTTGTAGATCATACAATGATCAAATAAAAAAGTAATTATTTATATCATATATATAACAATCTTTTATTTTTTGTCTTCCAAAATAACAACCACAACAATAAGATAAAAATAAAACAAGAAAAAATGAAAAACGAATCACAAAATTATTGCGTGTTCAAATCAATTAACCTGCATATAATTTTAGATACAGATATATAATTGTGTGTTGTCATCACTTTAAAGATTCAAAAACAAAGATGAGAACAAACCGTGTGTAGTTTGTAAAAAAAGTAGAAAGAATTTCAATTAAATTCGATTATATAAAATAAAAATAAAAAAAAGTCTGAAAAATGTTTTGTTCAAAGTATGTCATTTCTCCAGTAATACAATGTTTTTTAAGAAAACAGAATGAAAAAATAGAATAACATGAAAGTAGAAGACGAACTCTCTAAATTGCCTCAATCTATAGTTCTGTGTTATAAGACGATAGATAATAAGTTTATTACATATATTCTCTTCTCTCTTTTTATATAACGAAAAGAATTGGGACGATTGACATAACAGGCAATAGATCTACTTTAAGTATGGTTATGACGAAAATCAAACTTTTTCTTTTCTCTCTCTCTGTCTCTGTCTCTTATCCTGATTGTGTAATTTTGACTACCTCTCTATCCACTTAAACATGATTTCTAAGGAAGAAAAGAGAGACGAATCACAGTAATTTATAACTGGTGTAACTACCACCACATACCACAATGCTAAACAAAACAAACATTTTGTCTATTCTGTTAATAAATGACTGTCTTCTATCTAAATAGATACAAGTAATTTTTTTTTTGCCGTCATAAAATATGACTATAGTGTTTCTTCAAAGTTAATAAATGAGTTAAATCATCTGTATTGTGTAGAAAAACAGTTGTTTTCATAAGTATCGTACTCTCTATCGACTACAAAAGTCAAAAATAACTACTAGAGATGGAAGAAGAAGAAGAAAAATAAAATAGAAGAAAAACGGAAATAGAAAGATTAAAATATTTTATAATTTTCAATATCAAATACATAACATAATTATTTTTTGTTTGTGATTCATAAATAATAATTTTTTTTTTTTTTATAATTATAAGTTTCATTGTCACTCGGATAAAAAAAGATAAAAAATCTCATAATCCCGGAGATAGGTAGAAAACAAAAAAAAAAACATCAAGTAAAAAATTCTAGAATAAACCTCTTAAGTATATTGGCAATAAAAAAACATCAAGATTTTTTCTTTTTTTTTTTTTTGTTGTTGTTGTTTATCTTTGATCTTTAATAATGAATAATTGTTTTTTTGGGTTAATACTTGAGCGTAATATTCTTGAAAAAACAACTATAATAGATTTCTAAAAGTATATGCCCATTAGTAGAGAGCTATAATATTCATTTATAAAAAAACAAATAAAAATAAAAACACACGAAGACACATAAGATAGTCATTATTTTTATTTTCAGATGTTGTCTATACGTAACGTGCTTTATCACGGATAGATGATAGAATATAATTAAGAATCATTTTTTTTTAACGGTAATCTCTTAGAATTAATTTAATTATAGTTAGGCATGACTGATGATTGAGAAATATATAATTGAAATTTTTCAATCGAAAACAAAAAGAGTTAAAACAAAACATTAAAAAAAATTGACGTGTTACTGTAGATAAGTTTAATAAAAAAAACAACAACTATAGGCAATATATTTTATTGAATTCTTTTGAATTGATTATATATCAGTTTTTCAACAGTAGATTAAGCGAAGATATGTCTATAGATATGTCGTCAGTGTAATTCTCCATATTTCTCTTGCTCTTTTTCCTTCAATTCTGAAACTGTTGACATCATATTCTACAGTATCTTACGATAAGCTTATTGACAAAACACAAAATTGTTCGAACAAGAGTCTGCTTTTGCATGAAATATGTTATCTAATGTAGATATACTACTTCATTTAAAAATAAAAATGAACAACATTCTGTCAGTCTAGTGATTTCGATGTGGCTAAGACTTATACGTCAAAGCAACATTTTAATATGGAAAAAAAGTAGATCGTATAACTTTACTTGACTTTATTTTCTCTATTAAAACAGTAATGTTAAACATCACAGAATAATTTATCTCATATATACTTCTATTCAATAATTGATAAAATACTGATTTTTTTCATTAGTATATAAACAATATTTTCTAATTATCTGTTTCCCATTGTGTTTACAATCTCGTCTAATCAATATCATGTGTACACTTGATAAACTTCTTCATACGTTGTTTATCTATTCTAAAATGTTATTTGTTCTTATGATATTTCATAAACAAATACTAGACTTACTGCGTTCACGCTCTTTTGGTTCGCTTTGATTAACCGCATTCGAGCAGAATAATTCTGTCATTATTTAATTTTATCCATTAGATGATATTATAAACAAAATAATAAAAAAAATACGAGAAATTATTGATAAGGTAAAATATCACAACAACAACAACCAACAATAATAGATGACATATTGACTGTATGTTGATGTTGAACAATGAATATTCAACTATCGACGCAGATATTGATAAGAAAAATATTTTTACTAGTTATAGATTATTACCATAAAGTCTATTCATTGTTAGTTTAGAAAAATTATCATTTGAATAGATCATAACAAAGAAAAATGGTGGATTATTGAATTCGATTGAATAATATACATTTGTTCAAACAGACAAAACAACGGGAGATTTTGTAATTCGGTGACAAAAAAAATATTTCGGCCTCCTCTGTACATGATCAAACTTTCTTCTGTTTTTCTTTTTCTCATTAAAATAGCATAACACATGAGGTTTATGAATTAATCGAAATTTTTCTCTACAAAAACCAATCGATTAGAATGGATCATCAAAACGGTGTCACTGTTATAATTTTTCAAAATATGAAATCTTAAACTTGAGAAAACACTATTCATATTCGGTAAATATTATCCATCTTAAACCATTTTGTATAATATTAAACTAAAACAGTGTTCTATAAATGGCTACAATAATAGACCAGAATCAATATTTCCGTGCTATTCTGCTTACATCGTAAAAATTTCGAACACAATTTCAGCCATTGGAAAGTTGAGATGTGTTTGATTATGTTGTCGTAGAGTGCTAGCAGTGTTATTCAACAAATTATTTATACACTTGCTGAATGTAGTTTGTTGTGATTCTTCTAGTACGAGAGAATTTTTAACTTTCAAACTATCTGATATAATATGCTACAAATCAAATACTTAATGATAATAAACAACAGATTTGTTCTTTTTTTGTCAAATATTTTTAATATTAATTTGGCCAACTCTAAAAATAACTAAGTGTGTCAAGTAGAACTTAACAAAATCTATTGAATGCCATCATTCAATATTTCATAGTTTCGTTTTTTACAAGTGTCAAAAAACAAGTAGACTGTTAATTTTTTTTGGCCAAATATTTTTAATATCAACGCTTATTGTCGTTGATATTACAGTTTTGGTAATAATTATTCTTGTTATAACACTTGATTTTTTTATGTATAGATTAGAGATAGTGAAATAAAGAAGCTTATCAAAATGTTGACATTTTTATTCCAAATCAATAGCACAACTATTACAACAAAATCTGTTAAGCGACTATTCTTATCAACAATTATTATTTAAAAATAAATTAGGAACAACAGCAGCCAAGAAAATTAATTATAGAATAAGTGTAGTGTTAACAGATCTCTTTCTCTCGTTTCGAAATATATATGTACCATGTTCAATAAGAGTAGGTTAGTCAACACAGAAAACTCTGATTCTAACACGTATTTTTCTAATTTACAGTAGTCTATTTGTTTTTGAAACTTGTAGAAACGAAACTATGGAATATTGAATATGGCATTCAATCAATTTCGTCAAGTTTTACTTGATACATTAGTTGTTTTCAGAGTTGGCCAAATTAATATTAGAAATATGTAGCAGAAACGAATAAATCTACTATTAACTTTTTCTACTTGGATCTGCACTTCTGAAGTAAAATTACTAGACATCTTTTTGAGTAAGATGTAGTCGAAGTGTCTAGCTATTCAATGGTATAATTTTAATCTATTCGCAGTAAATACAGGGCAAGAAAAATTAATTTCACTTGATTCTTGAGCAAGTCAGAAATGTTACGATTTTAATGTTGCAAAACTGGATCACGTAGCTGAACTCTGATGTTTATGTCTTAGGCCAACATATACTAAAGAGAATTAATAACGTTTTAGTGGAAGACAGTCCTCTAGGTAATGGAGGACAGAGTCATAATAAATTATATTCAGAGAATTTATAGGTGCTTTATGATCAACACTGTATCTCATTAAGTATAATGGATGGGCCAGAAATAATGACACACTATTGTTCTCTTTTCTTCCGAGCATAACTGAGATTCGAAGATTCCATTCTAAACTCATTCAATAGAGAATTTTCTGCTCTACAAAATCCATCACCTTCTTTCATTATATATTATTTTATTATTTTAAAAAATAGTGCAGAGTATTGACAGTTAAAAGTATAATCGCGACGGAAGGAACAGGTTATAATTATTTTTGTAGTTCCCAATTGATCATTTCTGACTTGCTCAAGAATCAAGTGAAATTAATTTTTCTTGCCCTGTATTTACTGTGAATAGATTAAAATTATACCATTGAACAACTAGACACTTCGACTACATCTTACTCAAAAAGATGTCTAGTAATTTTACTTCAGACGTGCAGATCCAAGTAGAAAAAGTTAATAGTAGATTTATTCGTTTCCGCTACATATTTTTGAGAATGAAATTAACACAACTATTTATCACAGGTACTTTGTGTAAAGAATTCGTCTTCATTTAATTAATCCGCATTGAGAAATAAAAAATTTTTTCCAAATATTCTCCCACTAAGAGCGGACGATTCTAAAATTATGGGATTATTCATGTATCTATTTTTATCTATATCCCGTATGGTTTCGAGACTTTGTTCTGACTTCAGAAGATAGAAAATTTTCTACTCTACAAAACTCTATAACGCTCACTTTTACTGCGTTGTTTGGCTAGTCCTTTTCCTTCTTTTTCAAAATCCCACATTATCCGAAAGTACAGATTAACTTGTGCACTTGGTGACCAAACAAATAAGTAGCGTAGTCTGGATGATAGCGCTCAATCTGCTGAATATTTTTATACCATCTTCTTCTCTTAATGACCACATTATTTCTCGAAAAGTTACACTAAGTTGAGTTTAGAATGGAATCTTCGAACCTCAGTTGTGCTCAGAAAAAAAGAGAACAATAGTGTGTCATTATTTTTGGCTCACCCGTTAATAAACAGTATTTGCAACCCTAGAAGGATTCTGTACGTTTTCTGATTTGAAATTTTGCTTTCAAAATGTTCATGTTAATTAAATAAGATGTAGAATTTATTGCGAAACAACCAAAAGTAACTCTGCAGACTGGAAAATTACCAAAACAAACAAAAAACGACCGTTTTAAATATAATACAAAAAAAAAAAAATTCTGATTAGTATTATTTTAATGACGAGTGTCATCGAACCTAGTTTGAGTTTTCATTACATAAGATGATAAACTGAAAGAACTCTAATTAATATACAAAATAAACACAATATATAAGCTCTGAATAAAAAATTTAAAAAAAGATGAAAACGAATGATTATTTTTAAAATACCAGCTCCAACCATGAATACATCTCTTGTTTTGCACACACACACACACACACACACACACACACACACATACCTTTATACCGTTGTCTGTTGTCCTTCAAATGCTTTATGTGAGGAATTTGCTTTATAAAATTTCACAGGAAAATTCATATCAGGAAATAATTGCATAACTTTATTCGAGATAATTGTATGTGAATCATCAGCTGAATTTGAATTCCAAATTTGTATAACATCATATTGTCCATCACGTGTTTGAACAGTAACACCGACAATATTATCATTGTCAATTTCAAATTGTTCACCAATTGTTGCTAAACATAAATCTTGCCATACGGCATTGATAAAATGTTTACTACATTTAGCCGTCCATATCCCACCATTAATATTTTCAGCATCTTCCCATAACGGTTTTCGATTATTTCGCATTAAATGATAACTAACACGATTCAATAATTTACTTGGTGCTATAACAGAGAGAATCATGAAGATATATATGTTTAAGAATGAAAATGATATATAAATTTACCTGGAATATTATTAAAGACGGACCAAAACTCTTGTACAGTAGCGACCTCATAGATACGACTTAATCCACTTTCATAATCATTTTTTGATGTTGTTTTAAGTTTTTGATTATCAAGAAGCCAAAATGTCCATGAGGAAGCTAACGGTGCCGTTTGTTCAACTGTTGTCAATGATAGTGATTGACAAATTTTTGCTAAATAATTATTATTGTTATTTACTTCGCCTTTATTTGCTAATAGACGATGTTCATTAGTCTTATTACGGTCACCTCCGTCTATTATCGATGAATTTTCATCGTCCAACATCTGAAAATAACAGATATCTTGTCATATAGCCGAAAGAAATATGATTTCACATTTTTCTAAAACTTTTTATAACTTCAAAAAATGCATAACTTTGTAAAAAGTTTTTTACTGGCACTTCTTCGGCACTGGTATGCCCAAGTGCCAGAAAGGTTTCCAGGTTTTGCATTGATGCACACACGCGTGGCTTGATACTTTTTCATTGGCAGAAGTACGCATCGGCGCCGAAAAAGTACCGATATGCCATAAGAACTTTTCTTACTTTATCGGCACCCTAGCGCATCAATTTTTTTCAATCACCGTGTTGTTTTGTCGACATCCGTCAAATCAACGGAACAAAAAAAATAAAGTTGGTTTTGAGTTGCTGCAAAGCGCTTTTTCATATTCAGTATACTCGATAACCTAGAAGATTTTCTATTTTTGGTGAGGAGTACTGCTAAAAGTTTAAAAAAATGACGCAAAAAAAATTTCCATGGGAAAATGTCATTTGGACTTTATTTCTTCCTTCTCATAAGAGAAGTGCTGAGGCAGTGCCGCATGGTTACCGCACGCTACTGTACTACTGGTACAGATCAGCGCTGTACTTTAATTAATGCTAAATTAAGAAAATACAACTATAATAAAAAGCTGATTAAATAAGTTTCAATATGGCACTGATTTTTACCAGTGAGGCACTTTTTTCGCATAAATATATCGGCACAGGTGTGTACCGGTGCCTGGCAGTAACCGATAGCATGCTATGCACACCGACAGTGCCGCAATGATTTTTACGAGTAGCGAATTTTGCTAGAATTTTTTTGTAGGGAGACACATAGTCATGAAAAGTTCAAAACATCTTATGAACAAACAAAAGTTTTCTCATTGTTTTACTTTTCATTTATCCACCTTTTCATCATTCAAAAGTAAATATGAGGTCAAAGACGATAAAATGTTGATATCAAGGACGTCAAATCACAGAATATAATAATCACATCATAAACAGTTGACATGTCTACTGAATGATAAAAGTGTTTAAGAAGATTGACAAAGAACAAATTACCTATCTCAAGCTTTTCAACTGATATCAACAGTAAGTCCGTGAAGTCTGAAAGAGAGAGATGTAGAGTAGTTCTTTATTGAGTCGGGATTCTGCATTGTATCAATTTATTAAAACCTAGCCCTCCTGGGCTTGTCCATGTAAAAGTCAACTTTTACGCAAGTCTGGAACGTTTTGTGAAAGTCATAGTTCTTCAGCCGAAAAACGTACGAAGTTGGGGAACATCTCATTTTGTAGCTTATAGATTTTTCTTTCAGACGGTAATTAAGAAAAGTCTAGCAGCTGACTAGTTTAAATGACATCATGTTTTTCATATATGCCACTTTCGTACCCAAAGGGCTTTATTGTCACGAATTGTAGGTAAGTGTTTAAGGTAGAACTAGAATTTGCTTAATTACCATCTGCAAGAAAAATCTTTAAGTTACAAAATGAGACGTTCCTCAGTTCTCTATGTTTCTCCTCTGAAGAGCTATGCCTTCCACAAAACGTTACAGACTTACGGTTTTTGGCTGGTACGTCTGGACAGATTGTTCTCTTTCTTTTCACTTCAGAAAATCTTAGAGACTTACCTTATCGTTTGAAAATCGTAAGAATTTTCCATTAATGGTAATTACTTTATTTCCTTATATAAACCAATCACATCGATAAAAATCACGATTTTCTTCTCGAATTTCTTAGCAAGATAATGTCATCGACCATCCGTAAAGCCTCATGAAACTGTTTTCGTCATTTATTGACTCAAAGATGAACAGGTAATTATTTAAGCTATTATTATTATATGAGACTGTCCGAGTAGTATGTATATTTTCTTTGATTTTGAGTATTAGAGATTATACTATTCAAACACTTTATTTTTCTTATTTCTTCTATTAAAATTGTACCAGTTTCAATACTCACATCAATTTCTCTTTTTTTGATGGCAGTTTTTCGTTTCTGCACAGCTGAATATATATTTTCTCCATCAATACTGAATACTAACAAAGATGGTAATAGGCATATGTGTAATTCATTTAAAATATACAATTAATCGATATAATTTTCACATAAATAACGTAGTTTTTTACCTTAACAACACTGATGTTTTTAAGTCAGAAAATGTTAGTGTCACACCATCATATTGCCTCTTATATCATTCTATTGGTCACTGTCAACACCTGTTGTACACACTACAATTTCTTTTTTTTTCATACTGTGCATTCATACTGTGTATTCATGTACTCATGATGTAAAAAATACGACAAATAATACATTGTGACAGACATTTTCTTATTGACAAATTTCGTTGCACATACTATTTAAAAAAAAAATGACATAAATGCCTGTTCTTTTCTGATTTAAAAATTTATTTACTATTTTATCCCTATTAATTGTAGAAAAACAAAACAAATGGAAAATGATCTTAATTTAAAATTTTTAGCGCTAGGCGATTCAGGCGTAGGAAAGGTGGGTTCGAGTCTATGAAACAGTAAAGTAAAGAACGGAAGAAATTCTAATTTATAAAAAAAAAATAGAAAATTGTTTATATAGAAATAAATTTAAAATTTTGTTCATCTCTATCTAGACTTGTCTGTTAAATCAATACGTTGACGGAAAATACAATGGAAAACTAGCTCCAACAGGTAAAATATTGTATTCTTGTATTTCCTAGATTAATGCACTGTTTTTATTTCTAGTGGGTATTGATATTCGAGAAAAATCATTTCAATACATATCAGAGAAATGTTCGCCTCTAAAAGTTTGGGAAATACATTTACAACTATGGTAAAACTGACAACTTTAAACCATAGATAATTTATCAAACGGGCAGTTTTGTTTTACTATTCTCGAAGATCAAGTAATTTCTTGAAGAAATGTGTTTAATCGTACAAAAATTTTTTACACAGAGGATTGAATAATGATCCGATAAAAATTAGTTTGTTGGTGATAGTGCGAGCGTTCGTTTGTTTTTGAATAAATTTTCTCTTTTCAACAGTAATCTTTTAATTAATCTCTATAATTTATTGGAGTAGGTATTAATACTTAAATAAAACGTAAAATTGTTTTCTTCTCTCTCTCTCTCTAATCGTGTTTAACATTCTATTTTATAATTTTAGGGATACTGCAGGACAAGAACGTTTTCGTAGTTTAACATCAACATTTTTTCGTGATGCAATTGGTTTTTTACTTGTATTCGATTTAACAAATGAAAATTCATTTTTAAATGTTCGCGACTGGATTACCCAACTTCAAAACAATGCTTATACAACTGATCCAGATATGATTATCATCGGAAATAAAAAAGATTTGATAAATGAACGTGTAGTTGATCAAGTAAGAGTCCAACAATTCGCCCAACAATATAACATTCAATATATTGAAACAAGTGCTCTTGAAAATATAAATATTACAGAATCAATGGAACTATTGTTAGATAATGTTATTATCAGAATGGATAAAAATAAAGATTTGATAAAACAAAATCCATTTATAAAAGCAAACTCGAGTATTATACTCACAAATGGTAATATGAGCAATTATAATAATGAAAATCAAAAGCATCAACATACATCATACTACGAAAAAATAAAATTGTGTTGTAATTAACGTTTTGAATAAACATTATATAGAACTTTTACTCTATTATAAGATGTAATCGAGTGCCAATGAATATTTCAAGGATTACAATTAAAAATAATATACTTGCCCACTATTGCGAAGAAAATTTGCTTATTTTAAATATAAAACAGCATTGAATCCATGTATAAACAAAAAATATATGAAAACAAATGTTTTTTTCAACTATTTACTCAAATGACAATAGATTTGTTCACTACTTTATTGCATTACAATATATAAAAAATATTTATGTATGATATAGTTAACCGAAAAAGAAAAAGAAAAAGAAAAAATTGTATTATCTGACAAAGAAACAAAGAAAAAAAAATATCTGACATTGTTATTTATCGACTATATTTTATTTTTGTTAATATCTTATTTAAACTTGTTGTTAATTCAACTTGAGCATCTAATGACAATAATTGTTTATTTTCATCTAAATTTTCATTATTAGTTGATAAATTGCTAAATATTTCTTGACATTTATTCAAAAATAATTGATTATTTTTATCTGTTCGACTATTAATATCATTCAGACGATTTATTTTTAATATAGAATCAATATTGTGCTTGTTTATTTCTATTAATGGACAAGTTGTTGAGTGATTAGTGGTAGTTGATGATGTAGTTGGTATAATTGATTTAAATTTTTTATAAAATTCATTCCAATCATTCATAGATAAATCCAATTGTTTTGCATAATTTTGCTGTTGTTCCGTAGTTAATATTGTTTGTGGTGGCATTTGTTGTTGTTTGTCAGCATTATTCTGTTTTATTAGAATTAGTTCATCTTTGATTGTTTTTAATGCTTCATTTAAATCATTTGAAAACTGATGATCGATATCTTGTGTAATATCGTCTAAAGAAAATCAAAATAAAGTATGATAAGTTTTCAAAATTCACTTGTTAATCTATATATTGTAATTTTTAATTATTAAGCGTCAAAAACTAAGTCAAACAGCATATATTTCAAAAAACAAATTGTTGATTTTTAGTTTTGGGTGAAAATCTCAGCAATATTTCAACATGAAAATTTAAATGAACTTAATGTGCTCAGAGAGCATTAAAACAAAGACATATCATTCGATTTAGTTTTTGAAAAAAAAACATTTTTTCTTACTCAATTCGATGCTCTCTATCCAACCATATATATAGATAAACGGAAAAAAAAGTCTTACTCAAACTCTGTATTTCCAACACCTTACCTAAATATTCTATTATTTTTGCGTTTGTTTTTATATGTTGTTGTTCATCAATAGCAAAATTTTCAAACATTTCTAATTTTTCACGTTGTTCCCACATATTCTGATAAAATTTTATAATTTTATTTCCATCGTCACTATTAATTAAATTTGAACAATTGTTTATATCAACGACATATTCAATTAGCCCTAATTGTATGTCTATCATTGTAATAGTTGGTTTCAATGAATGTACTTTTAAATAATGATAATTATAGGTGTTCATATAACGGAAGAGTAATTCGCCAATATGATAATTTTCATTTGGATTATCATCTGTTGTTGTTGTTGTCGTTTGCGATGTTATTGACCATATTTTATCAAAATAATTGAGTAATTCAAATGGAAATAAACATGCTTGTGCACAAAATTCTTTTATCAATTGAATATCTGTTATACGAGTGCTACTCAATTTTTCATATAATTGTTTATCATAACGATCCAATAACCATAAAAATATTCGAATATTATTTTGAACATTATCAAAAATTTTTATAGATAATTTTATATATGGACAAGATAATGACGATAAAATACGATAGATATCTTGTCGAAGTTTTTCATCCATCTAAAATAAAAATTGTATTATTTTCTTATAAAATCAAATTCTTTTATCCAACAATCAAAAAACGATAATGAATATTTGTCTAGAAATTTACATACATATAATCAACACTTAGAATATTTATTCTGTATTTCACTATAAACAAGGGGAAAATATTGAATAAAAAATAACTGTTCTATGACATATTTGTTTGATATATGAATTTAAAAAAGAAAATCATGTGTTTGTCAGTTATGTTTTTTGAAAAACAAACAACAGAAGCATAATCCACAAGAAAAAAAGAAATACCATAAATATATACCACATAAAATACGATTCTCAATTATAGACAATTTTTGCTATCAAAAATAAACAGAAAATATGACTTTTCTGAGATTCTGGGTAATTGTTATAACCTGACCTAAACGTCAGTTATAGAAGTTGATAAAAAAAATTTAATCAATATGAACATGTTGTATTTGTGAAGATGTTGATGTAACAGAAATTGTTCGTGTTGTTTGTCTTAATCGAGGTGATACATATGTACCAAATGTAAAAATTAAATACATAAGTGTGATTATAATTAACATTAGAGTTGATATGGGTGTAAATAATTGACGACATCTAACACGTAAAAACCAAACAAATCCGAGTAATAAACCAATTAATAAAATAAAAAATGATGATGTATCAATGGGTGATGAATCGATAAATGAATGATCAAATGATGTTTGAGAATTATTTTGTTGTTCTTGTGCTATTGATGGTGGTTGTCTTATTTGTGAAATTTGACAATGAATCGTTGTTTGATCTTTGATATTGTACGATTGTAGAGTATATTTATCATCTAATACACGACCTTGATAAATAAATCTTACACTTTTATTATTAGCCAATTCATCAGAAAAATACATTCTAAAATAAAAATAAATAAAAGATAAGAAAATAGTTAAAAACAAAATAAAAAATATTTTTACCTTTTTACTGTTGAAATTGTATCATTTGGACTGGCTACAATTGCTTTTTGTGTATCATTTAAAAATTTGATTAAAATGTGTAATGAATTTTCGTCTACTACTGGAGTTATACCATTGTTCGTTGTTCTATCGTTGTTACTACTGTTTATATCATTAGTTTGACTTCGTTTGGATTGATCATTACATTCGATCGCACTTCTATCTTGTGATAATTGATTCGAGTCATTACACACGACAAAAGATGACTGAGTGGTATTAGTCAATAATTGATCGGATAAAAATGATTCTTCATTTTCACTTGATCTGAACAAAAGAGAAAAGACAAAATGTTAGACGATAGATAATTAAGTAAAATCAAATTTACTCTAAATCAGAATCAACTTCAGTCTGTGTTTCACTTCCAGATGGAAAATGATGATCTTCTAATTCATAATTGAGTGCTTGAGTGATTGTTTCTCTCATAAGTGTATTATGATCATTTGTATCACGTTCTTGTCGTTGTTCTTCGGTTTGTTGTTGAATATTAGATGCAGGTTCAGTTGTAATGTCTGTAATTACATATAACAGATATGTAAAAGCAGTACGATATTAAAAAGCAGCTTGCTGATACATACGCTGACTATTTCGTCGACGACTGCGTCTTTCAATGATAAACAAAGTTGTAGGAAAATGAATGTGACTAACATCTGTTGATAACCAAGCAAGTAAAATTATACAGCCAAAAAATAGAAAACCAACAACAAAAATGACGTCATCGCCGATTCCTTCGATTAACATTGCAGAAAAATAATCTGAAATTAAAAACGGAAAAATTAACAAATTTTATTATACTGTAGATCACTATACTTCAATGCATTACAATCTTTCTTCTGTGAACCAATCAAGATCTAATGATCGATCTCTCAAATCTTCCATAAACTATATTTCTAACAAACTTTAAAACTGTGTTTAATAAGTGAATAATGTAAATGAAATGGCAAATAAAACAGCTCAACTAGTTTTTAGAGCAGAGAAATGAGAAAACAATGTGACAAATATTATCAAATTTTTTCAAATTAATGAAATGTTTGCTTCTGAACTGAGGAAATATTTCCTTGCGTATTTCTTCTAGTTCGCCTTTAGCTTACAGCGATACTTATAACTTCGTTGATAGTTTGAGCGAAAAAACAGCGCCTCACACATTGTATTCATCTGATTTCATGCTGAATTTTATTAACTAAAAACACATTTCTTATCTTGAGTATGAATGATCAAACTATGCTTTAGACCAATAGGAAAAATGGATAAAAATAAACAAAATAAAAAGAAAAGAATGATTAAGATAAGTTAGGAATGGACGGGAACGAAAGAGCCTGCTGCTGATTTGCTATCTACTTGATCTAATTATAAAAGACTAGAATTCCTATCCGCATCGTCGGACAAGATTGATGACTGACACGCTATAAATGTCGTCAATTGTCGTTGGAAGATGACATAAAAAGCTGAGCATGCTAAAGATGAAATTGGTTTGCTGTTCGAGGTGGACTTTGGTAAAAAAGACGTCAGAAGTGTGTCCCTCAGCTGACATTGCAAGAGATTATCGGAACATCTTTTGCATTCCAGAATACAACAGCTGTCGAATAAAATTAGCAATCTGAATGACTTCCCTAATATGGTTTTGTGATAATCACACTAATATGCATGAAGACGCTGAAGATGTTCGCGAGAAACACACAAGAATCATAACACTACCAGTATGAATGGTCATTCAGTAGCCGCTGGTAAAAAATTTTACGTTTTTATTTTATAGAACAGAATTCCATTTAACCTATTTTGTCTGACAATTCGAAATATAAAAGGGGTCTTCTATTGTGATTATTTTCCGCTTGCTAGCAACGGCAGAAAATGCTTTTTAGACGAAAACCAGTATTGTTGTAGAATTCTACTAAATTCGTACGTACACATGTACCTTATCACAAGACTTTTGCTCAGAGAAACAACGCTTAGAAGTACAATTTTAATTTTTCCCGTTTCTATTTATGCTTTTAAAAAAAATTCCAAAATACTTTTATTCGAAATATTATATTTATATTAGCTTTCATATCATAAAATCGACAGTGATCTTCTAATGAGTAGTCTTCTATTATGGAAGAAATTTATGATGAAGTTGTGAATAGGAAAAGAAGGGTGTTTTTTTCATTTATTAGCTCAGTTTCGTTCTGACTTGTATGCATATTATACAATATAATTGAATATTTCTGAGGTTTCATAATGCTGATATTCTATTTTTTCTGCACGACTTATGGCATCCTTATCCACTTTATTCACATTAATAAGTCATCAAATCGATGGAAAAGATCTATGTTTTCTATTCGTTACCGTTGCCAGAGTTTCAACTACACACTATTTTAGATTTTTGACAATTCGTTACGCTTTGTAAAAAAAGAGAATATTGTCTACTGACCCTCCGACTTTCCGATTTTCATTATAGATACTGAGAGACAAATGAGATACACAAACTGTTTCAAACTTAGTTGACAGAGATGTGCTCAGTACATAGAATGAGTATTATATATTAACAATAAAACAATAGCAATACATTCCCTTGACTTTAGTCTAGAGTCTTACGAGATAGTTGTCTGTGTGTGTGTATTTCGGAAAACACGGAACAATGGCTGTCATATATTCCATGGATAAGCAATAACAAGAGAGACAAATAGAAAATTGTTTTTTAACCACAAGTAAGTAAATACTCAAGGAGATGGCTGAAATATCTACTGATGCAGCGAGAAAAAAAGCTAAGCAAGCCTTTTCTGTAATTCTGGGATAGATGTCGCCAGAAAATCAGTCAGTTTTGATAACACAAAAAATCATCTACGGACAATAAAACTTACAGAATATAGATAGTCTATCCTGGCGAATCGATTAGGAATGCTTCCAGCGCTCGTGAGATCTTAAGACTAAGATTATTTTATTCACGAAAAGTGAAAGTCATCAAAAGTCACTAACTATAACAAAAGAACAAATATAAATTCTTAACTGACAAATATTTCACTAGAAGAGATACTGACATAAATCTGTTTTGAAAGACGTTAAAGAAGAAAGACAAATAACTGACTCTGGGAGATTATTTCAGTCCCCAGGTCCAAGGATTAGATAACAAGATCTTGGAAGATCTTACAAGATCATATACGATCTTGGGTGATCGTATAATAAGAAATCATAAGATTTCAGAAGATCTTATCAATTCTTATGAATTTTCTATAAGATCTTACAAGATTTCATATGACATCTTGTAGCAAGATTCTTATAAGATTTTACAAGATTTTTCTTATCATAGGAATGTACAAGATCGTGTATGATCTTATAAGATCTTACACAAAGAAGGTATAAGAAATTATATGGCCTTATAAGAAGTCACAAGATTTTATACGATCTTACAAGATCATACGCTTGATCATTTCCTGTCGAATCCTCTATACCTCTGCATTTTTCTTTTTCTAATATAATTTCTAACATTTGGCCCTAGGCG